TTTTTTTTTTTTTTGTACCAGGGATGGAACTCAGGACCTTGTGCTTGTGAGGCAGGCGGCAGAAGAGACAGGATTTTTGTACAGCCTCAGTCTCCTCAGAAGATACCAAGTAAAAAGGGAAAAACAGTAATTTTTTATAGGAGGAATCTGGCAAAACCCAACTTTACCAACTGATAAATGTTAATATCACCAATAATGAGACACAATGACATCATATCTCTGATATGACACATTAAAAGAGTACACCATTTCTGTGATCTTGCCAAAAATGCACTGTCCAAATTTAACCATAAGGAAACATGAGACTAGCCCCAACTGAAAGACATTCTACAAAATATCAATATTATTCCAAAGGACTAAGGTGATGAAAGATGAAGACTAAAGAACTATCTCAGATGGGGGAAGACTAATGAGACAAGACAAAGTAATATGGGACCATGGATTGGCTCCTGGCACAGAAAAGTACAAAATGTAAATTAGTTAAGTTTTTATTAGTGTAAATTTCCTGTTTTTCACAATTGTTCAGGGGCATCTGAACAATTGCAAATTCTTTATACTATTTTTACTGGTGGGAGCGATACGCTATAGATAACTATGGCCAGGCCTAACTCACCTGCTCCTGCAGAGGGCGTGGTGGAGCAAGGCTGTCTTCCTTCCCACCTATCCACCAGAGAAACATCAAGCATTGTCTCCTGCAGACCTTAGCCCTTCTCCAGGTTCCAATCAGGCATCCCCTTTCGGTTTCCTTATCTGCACTATAAATAAAGGTGCTGAGGATGCAAGCCAAGCTTTTTGTCTCATCATTTTCCGCCTGGCCTCAGCTATGTAAACTTTACTGTCCTCTTTGTCTTCTTGGTCTTATTAAGTTTCTTAATCTCTCACTCACGAGAGTTGTGGCATGTTCACTATACAAAAATAAAATTTTTTAAACCGAAAAAGATTAAAAAGGAGAAAACTGGCAAAAATACCTGGACACATCAAAAAAGAGGATATCCAAATGGCCAATAAACACATGAAAAGGTGCTGAATAACATTATACATCAAGAAATCCAAATTAAAACTATAAAATTCCACTGTACAACCAATAAAATAGTTAAGAGATTACAGTATGAAATAATGGATAGAATGTGGAGCAACTGGAACTCACACATTGCTGGTTGGAGTGTATACTGGAGCAATCGCATAAGAAATGGGTGGTATCTATTAAACATATATCTACCTTATAATCTGATGCTAAGTATTTACCCTACTTTCATATATTTACCAAAAACATGTTAGGATGTTCATGACAACAACATAATTTGCAATAGTCTCAAATTAGAAACTACTCAAATGTCCATCAACAGTGTAACACATTAATATATTGTAATATATCCTCAAATATAATAAGAACTAATTACAATCACACTAAACAGCATGGATGAATTTCATGAAAATAATATGGAACAAAAGGAGCTAGGCATGAAAGAGTACGTGCTATATTATTCCATATACAGGTATACATGAAGTTCAAAAATGGATAAAATAAGAATTCTGAATAGTGACTGGAAAAGATGACTGGGGGGAGGCATGAGGGAACCATCTGGAATCTTTGCTAAGTCCTTTAAGAGGCTGTTACAAACTTGCATACTTAAGATTTGTGTATTCTATTATACGTATTTGTATATGCTACACAGTCTTAACAATGTTTTGGTAGGGATATATACAGCAACAAGATTTTCAAACATTGCCATGCAAGTGTAAATTCGTTCATCCACTTTGGTATATATTTTGCACTGTTTAGTAAAGTGGAAAGTATCACATAATTCAACAATTCCACTGGTAGATAAACTCAAGCATGTAAAAGAAAGTTCAAGGCAGCATTGTTTATGAAATTTTTTTAAAACTATAAATAATTTAAATTTACATCATTACTAGAGGGGATGGATAAGTGCAATATACTCAAAATGTAAAATACAATATAGCAAAGAATTGGGATGAACCCCTCTTATAGCTAACATAAATGAATCTCACAAACATAGTTGTACATATAAACATAATAAAAGGCAAAGGACACCAAGACAACTCTCATGAAGTTCTAGAAAGGGGAAAAAACTACAGTACAGTATGGTGCTTAAAGAGGTGTACATACGCGATAAAACTTCACACACACCTACAATGGGGACATTCAGTTACAGGAAACCCACACCCAAACCAACAGGGCCACACACCTAGGGCCTTAAAAGGTCATCTAAGCACAATTGCATTTAACGATGGGGCATTCAGTCATAAAGACATTGTCACAGGTACCGGACACCTGCATCAGTCAAGGTCATGACCACACACAAACCACGTACTCACACCCATACACCGAGTATTACCACCTATACTCTTGCACATAGTCACAATGTACAATCGTACATCACTACGGGGACAAATTACAGAGTAACACTCAAGTTACAAGCTCCACTCAGTCACAAGATGCACACAATGTTGCACGTGGTCCTAATCTCTCCCACCAACCCCATGGTATCTGCACCAGTATTAGCATTAGAAACAAATGCCAGTCACAGAAACAGTCTGTTGCAATCACACGATCATGCATCACAAAGCACCATACAGCCCAACTACGCTATTATAATCTTGACTCCTCCTTTGCACAAAGCCAGGGCTCCAGGTCCGGCCCCGCCCTCCCTTCAGGTTCCTCACCTCCGGCCTTCCAAGGTTCTCCAAAGGAGCACAACCCAGTAGGACAGTAGGGCAGTTGCCTGTGCAACCCTAAGGATCCCGCCAGCGCAAGACGCTAATGCTGCATTCCCGCGAGAGGCCGAGGAGGCTTCTGGGGAATGTAGTCAGAGACGTACTGGGGTAGACAAGATGGCTCCCGATCAACAGGATTCTTAATCAGCGATTAGTTGGAGCCGGGTGGACGTAATTTCACCCCTCATTGAAACACACCCTGAAGGCTTCACAGAGCCCTAGCTCAGTTTCCAGTAGTGTCTGCCAAAAAAGGCCACATCAGCTCCATGCAGATACGTTTACTTTCCGAAACTCTCCTGCTATCCGTAGGAGCGGGACAGGTAATGCGCGCCGCTTAACCTTCTGGGAAATGTAGTTCAGAGCGGGGAAAAGCCGTTACTGCCCCATTTAAAAGTCATATTCTTTCTTCTCATAGACAAGCTTTTATTTGACAATACCTGGGAGATTTCTGGGAGTGCTAGCAGGCCCAAGAAAAGTGGAGGGTCAGACTTTCTGGGGCGCTGTTTTGGCCTTTGGGTGAGTTTGGCTTAGTATTCTTTAGTGCAGATCGCTTGTAAGAACTGAGGTTGTGAGACCCAAAGCTGGTCAGGGAGGCTTGTAGAGGTCGGGAGAAGGAAACTGAAAAGTGACTGGGGATGCTGAAGGGAAGGAATCGTTAAATGTTTGACAGATTCAGGGAGGTAAAGAGAGAGGAGTTTCCGAAATTGTGAAGAGGGCTCCTGTTATTCTGAGATACTGACTTCTGTGTCAACAGAGAGTCCGAAGAGAGTAAGGGGCGAGTGAACGGGTTTTGCAGGAGACAAGGAGAATCCAGCGGCGTGAGACTTAGGTGTTAGTGGTGCCCTAAGTGTTGAGAGAAACTGCATTCACAGTTTTGTGTGTATGTGTAATTGATGCTTTAAATAAATACAGCCAGACGTGATGGCATAGGCCTGTCATCGCAGCACTCTGGGAGTCGGAGGCAAAAGGATCGCAAATTTGAGCTCAACCAGCGCCAACTGGGAGAGACGCTATCTCAAGAGCGCGATGGCGAGCGCCTGTTATCCCAGCACCTGAAAGGCTGAGGCGGGAGGATTACCACATGTTCAAGGCCAGACTGGGCTACATACGTACGAAGACTGTGCCAAAAAAAACCAACCAAACAAACAAAAACAAGTATAGGGCCGGGGATTTAGCTCAGTGGTGCCGCCGCCTGCCTCGAAAGCGCAAGGTCCTGAGTTCGATCCCTGGTACCAAAAATACAAAACAAAAAACAGCTATGTATGTGTGTGTGTGACTGGAATTGTATTGAGGAGTCATTGCTGATCCCCATCTGTAAAACAATAATAAGGACGGATCTCTCTGGAGCATGATTTTCTTTTTCTTAAAGTTTTGAAGGGCTAAAGGTTACACAATTGAGCTTATAATGATTTATTGTTATTATTTTGTTGGGGATTGAACCTAGGGACTTGTAATGATTTAAAGCTCAACTTACCTAACACCAGAAACATCCGTCATGGAAGAAAAAATAAAATCAGTGTTATGTTTTTAAGAAATAAAGTCTATTTCAAAGGAACATTTTATGTATTGGGTCCAGGGTTACTTGCTCTTAATTGGAGTACAGTCCCTGTAGATAGATATAGCCATTCAGTCTTCTGGGTTCTGTTTGTTTTTGTTTTGGGCAGTACTGGAGATGGATCCCAGAGACATTTCTACCACTGAACTACATATCTCAGCCCTAGCCCTAACCCAACTGCTTTTATTAATTCTAATCATCTGGTCATTAACAATAGCAGCAAAAACAGCAGTGAATTTTTTTCCATTTGATTTAAGGATTGTCGTCTTTGCTTAGTACTAGCTTAAGCCTTTGTACTGAGTTACATCCCCATCCCTTTCTATTTTGTACTTTATTGAGACAAGGTCTGTACAAATTACTTTCAGCAGGGCCAGGGATTTAACTCAGTGGTTTCACTGCCTGCCGCGCAAGCACAAGGACCCGAGTTTGTTCCCTGGTACCAAAAACCAAAACAAAACAAATTACTTTCAGCAACCAAATCCCACTTCCATGACTTCAGCTAACACTACTGACTCATGACCAACAGAGTGCTTTCATTCTAGGCCTATCTTGTGTGTGCTCACGTGTGTATGTGTATGTGTGGTCAAAATATATAACAAAATTGACTATTACAACCACTTTGAAATACACAATTCAGTAGTGTTAAAGATATTCACATTGTGTTGTGCAGCTAATCTCTAGAACATTTTATCTTATAAAACTGAGACGGTATACCCATAAACAACTTCATTTCCCTTTCTCCCATGCCCCTGGCAACCACCATTCTTTCTCTTTCAGTGAATTTGACTACTCCAGATGTCTTATATAAGTGGAATTATACAGTATCTCTGTTTTTGTGATTGCCTTAATTCATTTAGCATAATGTCAAGGTACATTGATATTGCAGATTATGTCAGAATTTCCTTCCTATTGTAACAACAAATTGTATGTATATACCAGATATTCCTTATCCATGTATCCATCAGTAGACCTTTGGGTTGATTCCCCTGTTAGCTATATTGAATAATAATAAACATGGATGTGTAAATTCTCTTTTTGAATATTGGTTTCAATTCTGGATATACAGTATACCCAGAAGAGACATTGCTAGGTCATTTGATAATTCTATGTTTCAATTTTTTGAGTAACCACCATGCTGTTTTCCACAGCAACAGCACCATTTTCATTCTTAACAATGCATGAAGATTCCACTTTCTTCACATCCTCTCCAACACATCTTCTTTTCTTTTTTGTGGTACTGGGGATGAACCTAAGGCCTTTGCACTGAGCTACTTCTCCAGCCCTTTATATATATATATATATTTTTTGACATAGGGTCTCACTAAATCACTAATTGCCCAGGCTGGGATTAAACTTTTGATCTTTCTGCTTCAGCCTCCCGAAGTCCTGGAATTACAAGCATCCACCACTATGTCTGGGTCATTTTCTGTTTTTTACATAATAATCATTCTAATGTCTGTAAGGTGGTTTCTCATTTTGGTTTTGATTTGTATTTCCTTAATGACTGGTGCTACAGAGCATATTTTTTATGTGCTTATTAGCCAACTATATATCTTTGGAGAAATGTATATTTCAATCTTTTGCACATTAATTGAGTTTTTGTTCAGCTGTAGGAGTCTTTATATAGTCCACTTATTGCTGGAGATTTAGCTCAGTGGTGCCATCTCCTGCCTCACAAGGGCAAGGTCCTGAGTTTGATCCTCAGTACCAAAAAAAAATGTACAGATAGATAGATAGATAGATATAGATATATAGATAAATATTTATATAGTCTAGTTATTAAACCCTTATCAGATATGATTTGCAAATATTTTCCTCCCATGGGTAGCTTTTCCACTCTATAGGTAGTGTCCTTTGATGTACAAAGATTTTTAATATTAAAAAAGTCCTATTTATCTAATTTTTCAAGTTTATTTCTTGCTCACTATTCGATTTCATTGGTCTGTATGTCTGTCTTTATGCCAGTACCACATAATTTGATTACCATACATTTGTGTGGTAATTGAGATCTTTTGAGATCTGCCAGTTTGAACCCTCAAATTTTGTTCTTTTTTTTTTCTCTATTGGGGATTGAACCCAGGTGCTTCACTTGAGCTACATCCCCAGCCTTTAAAATAATTTTTTTTTTAATTTTAAGACAGAGTCTGGCTAAATCCCTAAGTTGACTGGGCTGGGCTCCAGCTTGGGGTCCTCATAGCTCAGCCTCCCCAAGTACTGGGTTTACTGGTGAGCACTGCCACACCTGGCTCTTGGGGTTTTTTTGTTTGTTTTTTTCTTTCTTACTTTGACTATTCAGGGTACCAAAAGATTCCATATGAATGTCAGCATTTTTTTTCTATTTTGTAAAAGAATGCTATTGGGATTTTCACAGGGATTCCACTGAATGAAACTGTAGATCCCTTTAGATACTATTGATATCTTAACAATCCATCACAACAGGATATTTTCTCATTTATTAACATCTTTAATTTCTTTAAGCAGTGTTTTATAGCTTTCAGTGTATGTATAAGTTTTCTATTTTCTTGGTTGTCCTAGGTATTTTTTTTATTTTTGATGCTACTGTAAATGGGCTTATTTTCCTATGTTCTTTTTCACATTTTTCAAGGTTAATGTATGGGAATGTGTCAGTCCATTTTGTATAGCTATAACAGAATACCCTAGACTGGCAATTTCATATAAATTTATTTGGGTTATGGCTATAGAGATTGGGAAGGCCCAGATTGAGGGCTCATATCTAGTAAGTGCCTTCTTACTTTTTTGTAACTTGGTGAAAGTGTCATATGGCAAGAGAGTAAGGAAAAGCAAGAGATGGCATCAAACCCTTATAATTAGCATTAATCCATTTGATAGGGCAAAGCCAGTATGGCCTGAACACTTCTCAAAGTTCCCACCCCTTAACACTGTTGCATTAGGGATTAAGTTTACAATACATGATTTTAGGAAAATATATTCAGAAATACAGCAAACCACAATTGACTTTGGCATGTTGCCCTTGTATCCTGTTAATTTGGGAATTCATTTATTAGCTCTAACATTTTTTAATGAAATCTTTGGGTTTGCATATCTATGAACAGAGATAATTTTACTTATTTCATTCCAACTGGAATTAGGGCTATCTTAAACTCTTAATCAATATATTCAGCTAATAGAATCTCTACTTAGATATTCCACAGAAATATTCCACTATATATATATATACATATTGCAGTAGATAACCCACTTTAACATTTCAAATGTCATACCTTACCATTCTTTGTCAAGGGTCTTCTATCTACTGCCCCTTCTATATGATCTGTCTCAGTCATTCACAAAACTATCCAACAAGATTCTTAGTCTCCATTACACCTAATACAATTTGGTGGCCAATGTCATAATAAATTATAACTATGTAAGAACTTATAATAAATTACTCAGTGAGTGTTTGCTTTCTCTGAAATGTATTCCAAGGAGATTCTCTTACAGCCCATCTTATGAGAGTTGGTGGGAATTCTTCATATACCAAGGTAATGTTTCCAAATTTTCTTCTTGGATCAGTGTTATTTCATCAAATTCTACAGAGCCATTCATTCCACTAATTGTATTCAAGGTGCTGACTTTCCTATGTTGTTTACAGCTTTAGTTCATATTTCTTTTTCCTGGGCTGGGGATTTAGCTCAGTGGCACTGTGGCTGCCTCACAAGCGCAAGGTCTCGAGTTCGATCCCTGGTACCAAAACCCATCATATTTATTTTTCCTTTAACTTATATCCTCAGTCTCACATATGCTCTTCATGTGTTCTGTCCTTCATAGATCTTCCAGTCTTACAAAAAGTATTTGTTTGATACCTAGGGGTTTTTTTCTCCCTCTCATTTTTCCCATTTTTCCATTGGTATATGGCCTAGAATTGTATTTTATATGCTCAGTCATAATTCCCATTGCTGTCTTAACCTAGTAACACTATATTTCAACAATTTTTTTAACCTCCATCCCCACTATGATTAGACCTTTTAAAATTGTTAGCCTGGAAGTTAGTATCAAATTTCTGCTGCCTCTCCTCATTTTATTTTTATAACCCCATAATATTACTATTTTATAAATAACATATATGTTAGATAAAATAATAAAAAGAAAAAAGCAAGGAAAGAAAATTAAGGAGGAGGAATGGAGGGGGAATGAATGTGCAAACAAATATTTATAAAAAACCTTGTCCTTTTTTCTTGCATACTGTACATACTGTTGACCACCGTCCTTTTTTTTCTACCTATCTTATCTTGGGGACCATAGCCATATTGTATATATTAATCTGCTAATTTTAACAAAAATTCAGTATCCCATCAACTGGAAATATCAATTTATATAACCTATTCATGGACATTAGATTATTTCCAAGCTTATGTTAAGGTGAACATTTTTGTAATGAATATCCTGATTGTGTTGAATATTCTACAAAGTACCCTCAAGTTTCATGATTTACTCAAAGGACTTAGAAGACCCAGAAAAGCTGTTATACTTATTGTTATGATGTATAACAGCAAAAAAAAACAGATTAAAATCACCAAAAAGCAAACACAGGACAGAGTACAAGAGAGAAGATATGTAAGTTTCCAGTTGTCTTCTCTCAGTGGAGTCAAACAGGAAGTACCTAAACCCCAGCAATTACAAGGGAAGCTCTCCTGAGCTTTGTGGTCCAGCATTTTTATTGGGGTTGAGGGTTGGGGGAAAGAGTATTCTAGCAAGAAGAAACATGTGGTTATTGGTACATGAAAGGATGTTCAACATCATGAAACATTAGGAAAATGCAAATCAAAACAATGAAATTCCACTTTATACCTAGTAGAATGCCTATTATAAACAAATTGGAAATAAGTTTTGGTGGATATGTGGAGAAATTGGAACCTTGTGCATTGCTGCTATTGCAGTTATAGAACAATTTGGAGGTTTGGCAAAATGTTAAACATGGAATTGATGGGGAAAAAGTTTTAGACTGCTTAGTAGATTAATTATTTTAAAGTAGTTGTAGAAGCAAAATAGGTAGTGTATCCCTTTAAAAACTTGCCTTAGCCCGTTGATTTTGTTGTTTAAAGTGAAGGTTATATAGCTCCTTTGATCTGTAGCTCTACTATAGATAACATCTTAACTCTGAAGAACAAAGTTGCAAAGCTTGGGTAAATTTGTGATATATGTGCTTTAACTGTCATGTGTTTGTGCCTGCAATCAGTGATAGAAACCACCTGTGTCTAACCATTAAGCAGAAACTGGAATTTTGTTTGCTCAACAAAGACCACTAGGGGTGAGATAATGGCTAAAAAGGATATAAAAAGGAAACTCTGAACAAAGGGCATGCGAACACTGACCAGACTGGTTTCTGGCAGTCCTGCCTGCTTGCAAGTAAACTTTTATTATTTTACCCAAATTCTGTGCCTCCGTGTATTTTTTTTCTGCGATTTCTGCAACAGAATTACTAAATGATCCACTAGTTCCCCTTCTGGGCATATATACCCAAAATAATTAAGAGCAAGAACTCATACTTTTATAGGACCATTATCACAATTGTCTAACAACAAAAGGAACCCAAATGTCCATCAAGAGATAAATGGATAAAAAAATTGTTGTATATACACAATTATCACATTGTTCTTGTTACTTTCTGAAGCAGTTCTGAAAGTCCTCTTTTGTGAGTGTCTTTCATTTTGCTGTTGTGGCTGCCTCGATGTCCTGAACTGAGTCAAAACGTTCACATTTTATGGTCATTTGAAGAATTAGAAATTGACATTTCCAGATCTGGTGAATAAGGTGGATGAGGACATATCATAATGTTTTTATAAGCCTACCTTTCACACAATGAAAGGAGTCCTAAGAGGGAAGTTTACAGCTATGAATGCCCACAACACAAAAACAGACTGAGCCCAAATAAATAATCTATTAATACACCTCACAGTCCTAGAAAAACAAGAACAATCCAACCCCAAAACTAGTACAAATATGGAATTTTTTATATCAAGGATAGAAAGTATAAAGGCAAGAGCAGAAATCAATGAAAGTGAGTGCCCTCC